CGGCCAGCGCTGCACCACAGATGACCCGCCTCCTGCTGAGCCAGGGAGCTGCCTGGCGGCCCGGCACTCCCGCGGGCGGCGCTTCCCAGGTTCTCGCAGCCCCTTTCAGGGCGTCCTCATCTCAGGGATCCGTCGCAGCCTCGTGGCAATGAAAGGGCCCTCCCACTTGGCCTTTAAAAGCAGGCAATCACGCCCTCCCAAAGCCTCCCGGGATGCGTGGGCCTCAGGTGAGCGCCTCTCATTGCCAGCACCTGTGAGGCGGTTCACCTGTGCGGCGGTTTGGCAGGAACATTGTGGCCACATCTTCCCTAGGCATCCTGGCCTCTAATTTCCCCCGGGTCCTCACTGATGCTTGCACATCCTTTTACATATTCATTTTCATGTGTGTTCATCTCCTTATCCTTCGCCTTATCCTTTGCTAAGATCCAGACCATCTGCCAGGTTCTATGCCCTCAAAGGGAAACATCCCCAGATAGATAGATAGATAAGGAAATAGCCAAGAAAGCACTTGCCAGAAAGTGAGACCATATCACCCAGTTTGGGAGTTGGAAGGTAATACCCCTATTTTACCTAAAGGGAAGTTGAGGCTTTGACAATTGTTAAGTCACTTGCCATAAGTCACATGACTGGTAAGTGGCAGTATTAGAACATCCAGGTCGAGATTGGTTGTTGTTTTCCCCATTAGGCCACAGGCCCCTTCCTCATAGTCCACCCTGTCCTCTTACCTCACAGCCCACCTCTCGCCTCTACATTTGTCTGCACCATCACCCACCCCTGCCCCCTGTCAGGGGTTCCCCCTGCCCTGCATTTGCCAGTTATCACCCTGTCACTGCCTCTTCCTTCATCTTCATCTTCTCTTTTCACTGGCTTTCACCACAGTTTAGTAACATAGTCAAATCTCTCCTGCACAAGAATTAAACCTTTTATTCTTTCTGCTTCCCTCTTGATATAATTTTCTCTGTCCTTTTTCCCATAACTCCCTGACTGCCCTCTCTCATGATCAGATGCTTCTTTCATTTCTTTTTTTTAATCCTCACCTGAGGATATTTTTCCATTGATTGTTTATTTGTGTGTGTTTTTTTTTAGAGTGGAAGGGAGGGAGAGAGAGAGAAACGTGGATGTGAGAGAGACATATCCATTGGTTGCCTCCCCCAGGAGCCCTGATCCAGGCGGGGGACAGAGCCTGCAACTGAGGTACGTGCCCTTGACTGGGAATCAAACCCCTGACCCTTTGGTCCAAGGGCTGACACTCCAACCACTGAGCCAAACCGGCTAGGGCTACTTCTTTCATTTCTTAACCATCTTCCTGTTTCATAACACCTTGCAGTTTCCTTCCCAGCACTCCCAAAACTGCTCTCTCAGGGAGCTGCCCTAATTTCTTCCGAGTCTCCATCCACCCTGTACTCCGTGTGCACATGCCCCACGCAGTCCTTGCTATTCAGGAGCATTTGATCTAAAGGGGAACGTGATATGCAAGCAAACACTGGTGGCTGACCTGTCCTCAGGGTCACCTGTGCTCAGGCCAAGCATCGAGAAGAAAGTTCTGGATGGCGTGGAGTGGGGTGAAGGGAGAGGGAGGTAAGTCAGCCAGAGGAAGTGACCCTTTATCACCCAACACAGACCCTGCAGCTACATCCTCAACCTCCTCCCTTTACCCCTACAACTCTGCATGTTCTACTTCTCTTGCCTCCTGCTCGCTCTCTCTCTCCCTCTTTCTTCCTCCCTCTCTCTTTCAGTGGCCCCCTTCTCCTGTTCTATTTCCTCAAAGGTCTGCCCTGGGCAATCTTTTTCACTTGCCACCATGTTATCCCTCAGCACAAACACCTGCCACTATGACTGTATGTCCATGCAGACACTGGCTGATTATATCTCCAGCCCCTACTTTTTTTATGAACACCAGCTCTGCCTTTCAACAGCTTCTGGGTTTTTCTGCATGAAAATCCTATTCTAGCTTCCAATGGAACCTATTTAAAATAAGCATACTGTCTTTCTTCCCAAGTCATTGTCTCATTTCCCACAGGGAGACCACCATGGTCCTAGGCATTTGGTTTTAAAATTGGGGAGTCATCATTAAGTTTACCCATCCAATCAAAATCTATTGCTTCCATCGTTTCGAGATCCCCTGCGGATAACTAGTGTTCCATTTTCTTTTTTTGTTGTTGTTGTTAAACCTCAATGAGGATATTTCCCATTGATTTTTAGAAAGAGGGGAAGGGAGGAAGAGCACCACAGAGAGAGAAACATTGATGTGAGAGAGACACATCAATTGGTTGCCTCCCACAAATGCCCTGACCAAGGCCAGGGTTTGAACCTGCAACTGAGGTAGGTGATCTTCATTGGAATCGAACCCGAGACCCTTCAGTTCCTGGGCTGACGCTCTAACCACTGAGCCAAAGCAGCTAGGGCTAGTGTTCCATTTTCATTCCTTGCTACCCAGAATACTTGCCCCCACTACTTCCCCCCAAAACCCTCCTCTTTACTTGCTAGACAAAGAACAACTATAGACAATAACAAAAAAATCCCAACCTTTCAAATCAAGCAATTGGGGAATTCTACCTTGTTTTCAAGAAATAAGTACCGAAGAGAGTTATGAGAGAACATTTTGGATGGGAAGTGAAACTCTCCCTTTCCTTTGGGAGCTGCTCCCCTCCCCCCACCACACACACACACACACACACACACGGGTCCGCCACAGGTCCTGCCAGCATTACCAACACAGCCTGCTCCAGCTCCCTGCCTCCAGTCTGTCCTCCCACCCAGATGACCACATATTCTCCTGATCAAGATCCTGTGCTTCTTCCCTGTTGCCTGCTACAGTGATATCTCATCCTTCTGCAAGCCCTCACATGCTGGCATCTCGTACCACCCTATCACACCAGTGACAGCAACTTGCCAGTCCATGGCCATCTCTGGCCATCATGCCTCTGTGAAACTTCTACTTTGAACTTCTCTTCTACCTCCTTCCCTTCTCACAGACCAATCTTTTCCCGTCAAAGTTCTATACATTTTTTAAAAGCCCTTCCCAGGCCTTCCTCTGGATGCCAGACTGGGCTAATGGATATCTACAGTGACATTATTTTAAGGTGTTTTATTGAGGTTCCTGCTTACTCAATTAGATTACAGATTCCCAAAGGGCTCAACCGTTTACTAACAGTACGAATTTGACAGATTTTAACTTCTCTAACCAATGGTTACTTTGTCAAAACTTTGCATTTGTTGGAAAGAGTAAATAAAAAAATGTATAGGTGACAATGTATAGAAGCACCTAGGATAGTGTTTGGGGTGATAGGTGTGTCCATATTGTATTGAGTGAATGGATGAAACCCAGTGTGAATTTTCCTTTCCCACAATGTTAACCAAAAGCAAACAAAACTTTCAGTGATGGTTACATTACTGTAATGTGCACAGTAACCTTCCAATTATCTACTTGTACAGAAGAAGTAAGAGGCCAAGACAGC